ATGAGAAGGCAGAACCGAAAGTCTATATAAAGACTTTAACACAGGGGTAGCTCTGGTTCGGAGAGGTAGGACCACTGCAAGAGGAAGGGTAAGGTTTTAGCTCTTAGCTCTGACCTCTTGGGTTTCTTCTTTGCATTGGTTCTGTGTTTCTTATTTAATAAGAAGGTTGGTTACATCTACGCTGCAAAGTCCAGTTCTCTGTGACAGCCATAGCCCAAGCCCCAGGACCAGAGACTTTGTTTGTCTAAGATGTCCTGGATCCAGCGTTCTCTGCCAGCCCCAGAGGCTGCCTGCCCTCCCAGACAGTACAGCCTTAGGACAGCGGCAGCCGGAAGAGGGTTGCACCCTCCCGCTGGGCAGGTACACTCTCAATGAGCTGTTGCTGTTGTGTTGCATGGTGGTCCAGGGGGATGGGCTCATCTAGGGTGCAGCTAAAGGTCTGGCCCCCTATCACGTCATGACCATGTGACCAAAGGCCGGGAGGAGAGGTCATGAACAGCGGACACTGGGTCCTGGGCTAATGGAAGAGACAGACCGGAGGAACAAGCAATGGGCGCCCGCGGTTTTCAGGAGTTCAACTGCGCTGGGTTGAAGTTCATGCAAAAGGGCCGTAGCAGCGGGTCATGTGACTATCACCTGATTTTTCCAGCCTCTCCTCCCATCCGAAGGTATCCAGTTCTGCCCTAACTGCTCGTGGCCTGGAGGGGGAGTTCTCAGGGAGCGGCTGGAGTAGATTAGGGGAAGGGGCTCCATCTTCGCAGCCACGGGGAAGCCAGAGTAGGTGTTGGGGGCAGACTTCCAGAGCGGCTACTTTGGGGTCATCCACCCTGTCAGAAGCCCCTCACCCCTGCCGTGTAAGTAAGCACAATAAACTCAAAGTTCCCAGGGGGAGCTTTGACAGAACCTTAAGAAGAGGGAGGGGATGGATGTTTCATTCCTTCCCATCTCGTCCCAGGGAGAGAATTCTTAAATCTTTTTTTGGGGTGGTAGTGGGTGAACAGGGTTTCTCTGTGTAGCTTTGGAGCCTTTCCTGGAACTCACGCTCTAGCCTAGGCTGGCCTCGAACTCACAGAGATCCGCCTGCCGCTGCCTCCCGAGTGCTGGGATTAAAGGCGTGTGCCGCCACTGCCCCGGGAGAATTTCATGTTACAGTGTAGAAAGTCGTGTCTTGAGAACAGTGGGCGCCCCCCCCCCCCCCCGAGTGGCACGCACTCGTTTACTCATTTCGCTGTCAGAGGAAGCCTCAGACCCCAGTAGGATCTACTTTAAACCCCAGCTCAATTCCACTGGCTGTGTGAGGCAGGAGGATCAGAAGTTCAAGTGAGCCCCGCCTCCTGAGATTACAGGCGTGCACCACCATTCCCAGAAAAGGTAGGTGGTTTGTTTGTTTGTTTGTTTGTTTGTTTTCACACAGTGTCTGCTGAGTCCAAGGCTGTCCTCTGTGTAGTAAATTGAAAATCCAGATCTCTCATAGTTCCCAGGCCCCAGCAAGGGGAGAGATTGGACAATCAACTGCTTTCTAGGTGCCCACAGACGGGGGGTAAGACAGCGCCCCCACCCCCTTACTAGAGGCTGATGGTGCTATGTCCAGAAGCTATGGAAGATTTAGAGGTCGCAGAATGGAGCATTTGGTGGGAGACAGGACACCAAGTGGCGGCTGAGAGGGCCAGGGTGAGCATCCCTCAGAACCACCTGCAATTTGTGTGGCTTTGTGAACTTCTGGTCAGCACCTAGGGAAGACTGTGCTTTACTTCCCTCCTACATGTGGGGTCGGTGGGACAGGGGAAGTTTGAAGGCCACTGGACAAACAGGGATGGATTTCCTTTGTGTCACAGCTACTGTTTGCTTTCTGCTTTCCCCCAAAATGATACATTGCTTCCCTCCCTCTGCCAGGTAGAAACATTTGTGGCACTCTCTCTGTGGTCTTGGACAAGGGGGGACAGTGGAAGAAAAGCTAAATGAGTAATGATGTCATCTTAAGAAAGAGGCTTCTCTAGCCTAGGCTGGAACTTAAAGCAATCCTCCTGCCTCAGCCTCCCGAGTGCTAGAATTACAGTCACACGCCACGGCATCTGGCTTGCTGCACAGCTCCAGGTGTTAGCACTTGGATCTCCCTGTGCAAAGAAGCCTCCACATCTGTGGCTGATGACCACAGAGCAGCAAGCCGACCAGTGAGCGATCGGTACAGCCAGAAAGGGAGATTCTGGAGCAGGAGAGGGTTCACTGGGTGAAGGTGCTTGCTGCCAACCCGAGTTCGATTCTTCAGGACCCGCATTGGCAGGGAAACAAGAACTGACCCCTGCAGGCTTGACCTCCACACGTGTGCACACACACGCATAATGCACACACAGGTTAATGCGTTGATTAGAAGAAAGAAATGGGTGTCTGCAAAGTTTTTGAGCCCGAGACAGAACACAGCTTTACTCAGTTGCAAGTCACAAGAGTGGTTAAGGATCTGAGCGTGGTGGCCCACGCCTTTAAAGCCGGTACTCAGGAGGTAGAGGCTGGTGGATCTCTGTGAGTTCAAGGGCAGCCTGGTCTACAGAGCCAATAACTAGGATGACCTAGTGAGATCCTGTCTCAAAAAAAAAAAAAAAAGAAAAAGAAAAATTTGGCCTATTTAACTTAAATCGACTATCTGGCTAAAGGTGTGGCATGTTCCAGACTGCTCCCACTTCCTTCTGTGGTCAAGTCCAGTAGAAAGGAAGAGGTTTCATCTTAGTAATTCTTCTTTTTTTTTTTTTGTTTTGTTTTGTTTTGTTTTGTTTTGTTTTTTCGAGACAGGGTTTCTCTGTGTAGCTTTGCGCCTTTCCTGGAACTCACTTGGTAGCCCAGGCTGGCCTCGAACTCACAGAGATCCGCCTGGCTCTGCCTCCCGAGTGCTGGGATTAAAGGTGTGCGCCACCACCGCCCGGCTAATTCTTCATTTTTTAAAATTCCTTTTATGTGTTTATCAGGGCGGGCTCCAGAGCACACAAGGTGCCGTGAGAGAACAGCTTGGGGGGTTGGTTCTCCCCCCCTTGCAGGGTCTAGGGACTGAGCTAGGGTCCCCCGGCTTGCATGGCAAAGGCCTTTTCCCACTGGGCCATCTTGCTGGCCCTGGGTAATTATTATTTTGTGTGTGTGTGTTTCCTGGTTTTGAGTCAGGGTTTCACTACCTAGTCCTGGCTGGCCTCTGCCTGCCTCTGTCTCCATGGTTGCTGAGATTACAGCATGACCCGTCACACCCAGCTTCATCCTCCTAATGTGGCCGGGGTATTAGCCAGAGGCCTGACTCTGAGCTCCCAACACGACAGATCCGGCCACTCTCCTCAAAGAGAACTCAAGAGTAATGCAATGGGCAGGAAGAATGTGTTTGTATGTGTGCATGCATAGAGGCCCGAGGCCACATCAGGTGTTACCCTCTGCCATACATGCAGGTGAAACATTCGTACACATAACATAAAAATAAATCTTTTCAAAAGTTCTTTTAAGCCGGGCGGTGGTGGCGCACGCCTTTAATCCCAGCACTCGGGAGGCAGAGCCAGGCGGATCTCTGTGAGTTCGAGGCCAGCCTGGGCTACCAAGTGAGTTCCAGGGAAGGCACAAAGCTACACAGAGAAACCCTGTCTCGAAAAAACAAAACAAAACAAAAAAAAAAAAAAAAAAAAAAAAAAAAGTTCTTTTAAAATGGGCTGGGGAGAAGACTCATCAGTTGAGAGCTCACACTGTTCTTGCAGACAACCTAAGTTCAATTCCCAGCACCCATATCAGGTGCCTCTCAACTGCCTACACCTCCAGCTCCAGGGAAATCCACCTCTGGCCTCCACCAGACAGAAGAAAAGGTCCAGCAGCCTGGAAACATGGTGCTCAGCAAAATTCACCGTTATGTGGTGACACCTGGAACTCCTGTCATTGCTAGGCAACTGGGAAAGAATTCAGCTTGAGAGCCAGGACTGGCTGGAGTCTGGGCTGGGACCTGCTTTGGCTCTGGATTTCATATCTAACCATGAACAAATTTCCCACAACACATAAACCAGTTCAGGTGGGTTTTTCAGGTGTTCTTGAAGTAGAAAAGTCTAGGGTGACACCTGAGGCTGGGACCTGTTGTTCTGAGCTCAGTATCTCTGTCTATACAGTGGAGTAATCAAGGCACCAGCTCCTTTACCACTCCACTGGTCACATTCCTGCATCTTTAAAAAAAGATGTATTGTGTGTGAACACCCACCATATATGTGTGTGTGTGTGTGTGTGTGTGTGTGTGTGTATATGTATATACACCATCTGTATGCAGTACCTGAAGGTGCCAGAAGAGGGCAGTAGATTCACTGGAGTTGGAGCAACTGGTACTTGTGAACCACCCGGTGTTGGGAACTGAACTCTGGGCCTCTGGATGAGCAGGAGCACTGTTAACTGTCGAGCAGTCTCTCATTCTTGCATTAAAATGTTTTAAAATTTATTTTGTGTGTGACACACACGTGCTATGCTGCACATGTAGATGTCAGAGGACAACTTGCAGGATTCCATTCTCTCCTGCCATGTGAGACCTGGGGACTGACCTCGGTCATCAGGCTTGGCAGCAAGTGCCTCCACCTGCTGAACCATTTCTTGGCCCACATTCTTGCATCTGTACATCCCCACACATTTGAACAAACATACTCCCAGTGACCCTCACCTTTCTCTTCCCCCCACAAAATATTCCCCCACTCTGTCCCTCCCCACCACACACCCCCAGCCTCATCTCTCAGCCCTGCCCCCTCCCGTGAAACTCTGCACTACTCCATCCCTCCCAGCCCCACCAAGGTGTGAGGCAAAAACAAAGCCCCGGAGAAGCACTCGGTGCCTCAGTCTCCCCTTTTGGCTTTCCCACAAAGGGCAGACAGAGACCAGAGCCAGGAAGTGACTTTAATGTTCAGGAACTGATGGGGGCAAGCGTGCTGGGGGTGGGGTGGGGACACCTGGGGAAGGGGACCCCTGGGGAGGGTGCAGCAGCAGTGACCACGAGCAGCCTGTGTCGTCCTCTAAATCATTTGGCACCGGCGGGGGCACATGGGGTCCTGGGAGTGACAGCTCAAGCCAATTCGGCAGGGACATATGATGTTCAGGGTCCCCTTGGTCTGTGGGAGAGGAAGGGTGTGAAGGGAAGGGGTTACACTTCCAGGAGATGCCCAACCCGAGGTTCCACGTCATATGACTGAGCACAGCCTGGGCTCCTTGGTCTCCTCCTCTGTCCAGGGGGGACAACACCAGCTGTCCTGGTTGCTCTTTTTAGATTGATTTATTTTCCTTTATGTGTTTACATGCCTGTTAGATCGCCTGGAACCGGGGTTACAGGTGGTTGGGAGCCACCATGTGAGTGCTGGGAATGGAACCCTGGCCTCCGTCAGAACAGGTGCTCTACACTGAAGAGCCATCTCTCCAGGCCCCACTCCCCCACCCCTGGTCCCCGGGTTTCCTGTTAGCATAACCTACAGTCACCTGGGAAGAGGGGGACCTCAGTTAAGGAATTGCCTCTCTCAGATTGGCCTTGATGTGGGAGGGCCAGCCAGCCCACTGTGGGCAGCACCATCCCTAGGTAGGTGAACCTGGTCCAAAAAGCTAATCATGAGCCTGGGAGTGAGCCACTAAATAGCTTTTCCCCATGGTCCTACCTGGCATCCCTCGGTGATGGACTGTGTGACCTGGAAGTGTAAGCCGTAACAGACCCTTTCTTCCCTGGTTTGGTTTTACCACCGCAACAGAAATCCAACCAAAACAGTAACCTTTTTCATCTCCATATTATGGTGAGTGAGATAGGACATACCAAGTGGTCTCTGATAAAGAGGTTCTCCAGGCCACAGTGGGGGCCGTGGCTGGTTCCTTTAGGCACTGGTGGACCAGGCAGGGATATGGAGGCTGGGTCCATCCTCCCTAGTAGAGTTTGGGCCCAGGGCCAAGGAGTAGGAACAAGACATCCTGTACCTTTGTGTCTTCCAGTTGAATGAGCCCTGTGAACGTCCCCAGCCCCTTCATGAGGCAGACACATTAGTCCCACTTCAGGTCAGAGAGGTCCAGCGCAGGAAGTGAGGAAACCAGGATGTAAGCCTGGATCCCACCAGAAAGCTGAGGTCCCAGCTAGCCGTGAGGCCTTCACAAGTAACCAGGTCATGGTGGCAGGGAGATGGGGACTAGGCCAGGGCAGGTGTCTTCTCCTATCCCTCTTACATCAGGGGTGTTAGGAAAAAGGTTCTCATTCAGCAAACATTTGTTGAGCATCTACTATGTGCAGTCACTAAGCGGGGCGGTGAGGCAGCCACAGGGAAATGTGCCTCAGGGGCCACCGCTGTGAGCTTCGCAGCTGAGCAAGGCCGTCCAGGACGTGGGAATGCTGCTTAGGAAGGAGACTGCCTGAGGGGTGGTCGTTGGTGGGGGGGAAGGGCATCCCAGGAGGTGGGAGCTGAGGCACATGTTTTGTTGTTTTTTGTTTTTGTTTTTTCCAGAGCTGAGGACCGAACCCAGGGCCTTGAGCTTGCTAGGCAAGTGCTCTACCACTGAGCTAAATCCCCAACCCCGAGACATTTGTTTTTCTCTCTCTCTCTTTTTTTTTCATACCGTTTCCCCTCCCGCTCCGCTGCTCGCTGGTCTCTCACCTGGGGTAAGCACGCCATGCCCATACGAGACTTGGAGGTGCAGAAGGCCCCCCTTCTTTCCAGGTCTATGAGGCAGCAGTCACTCAAGCACTGGGTGTGGTGGACACACTTGTCCCCGTTGGCCTGTGGAGACAGCCCCTGGGTCACCAGCTCTTGTCTACAGAGGGATGGAGGGGGTCCTAGCACTGTCCAAGAAGCCAGGGTCCAAGAAGAGCAGGCATGAGACTGTCACCGTGGACCTCTCCCGATGCACCCTCTTCCCCAAACGGAACTGGACTGAGCGAAAGAGTCAGGACCTGGGGATCAGCCGGTTCCCTCTGCACCCCATTTCCTGACCCCTCACCTCCACAGCTCCCAAACGATGACACTGGGAAATAGTCCCAGACCACAATTCGAATAGCTAACGGGAATGGAGAGGGGGTAGCAAGATGGCTCAGCCAGCAAAGATGCTTGCTGGGAAGATGGGCGACCTGAGTTCAATCCCCAGACTGAGTAAAGATGGCAGGAGAAAATGGACTCCATTGCAATGTTTCTGATATCATGGCCATGCACTGAGAGGGATGGAGGGAGGCAGGGAAGGAGGGAGGGAAGGGAACGAAGGGACTTTTATAATTAAAAAAATAGAGGGGAGAAAGACTCTGCATCTAGGAGGAGAGGACCCAGAATCAGCAGGTAGGGAGGGCTTGGGATGGAGGGGGAAGGGAGGGGTGTTGAGCCCAGGGCTGAGAGAGCAGATGAGACCTGGACCAGGGGTACTGGTCAGGCCCAGGAAAGGTGAATGGAACTTGACCAGGCCTGTGAAGTGCATCTGGGGTCCCCCCACACCTCCAGCCAGGGCCTGGAGGGATCCCCACTGAAGGGAGGCTGCAAGCTGTCTGCCGCCCTCAGCCCCCACCCTTTCAACACAGAGGAAGTCGGGGGACACTGCTCACCTTTCTACGGTCCAAGTTTTCACTGAGGCTGTGTGGCAGGATCCCAGTGAGCAGTGCCAGCATGGTGGCTAATGCCTGGGTGAAGGCCATGGCCTGGGTGGCCGAAGGTTCCTGAACACTGCTGGGAATAAATCCCTGTGGGGGTGGTGGCCAGCCAGCGTGGGCTCGATGGTCACAGACTGTCCTGCTCAAAGGATGTGGAGTGAGGATCACTGCCTCCCAGCTTAGACCCTGTCGGGCTCTGGAGGGGACGGAGGAAAAAGCTTTGGATCATCAGGTCATCTATGCTGTGGAGCTTTGGGGGCCTTATATGAGCTACTTCCAAACACAGATTTCAAACTGTAAATAAAAACTTATTTTAAAATGTTCCCGAGGGGGCAGGGCTCAGTGGTTAAGAACACTGGCTCAAGCCGGGCGGTGGTGGCGCACGCCTTTAATCCCAGCACTCGGGAGGCAGAGCCAGGCGGATCTCTCTGAGTTCGAGGCCAGCCTGGGCTACCAAGTGAGTTCCAGGAAAAGGCGCAAAGCTACACAGAGAAACCCTGTCTCAAAAAACCAAAAAAAAAAAAAAAAACAAAAACACTGGCTCACAACCATCTGAAACTCCAGTTCTGGGTTGACACAACCTTCTCTGACCTCGATGGCACCAGGCACACGTGTGGTGCACAGACAGACCTGCAGGCAAAACACTCACACACACAGAATTAATCTTTTTACTTTGTTTTTGGGGTTTTTTTGTTTTTGATTTTTTTTAAGATTTATTTATTTATTATGTATACAGTGAGTGTTCTGCCTGCAGGCCAGAAGAGGGCACCAGATCTCATTGTAGATGGTTGTGAGCCACCATGTGGTTGCTGGGAACTGAACTCAGGGCCTCTCGAAGAGCAGCCAGTGCTCTTAACCACCAAGCCATCTCTCCAGCTCTTGTTTTTGATATTTTTTTAAGACAAGTTTCTTTGTGTAACCCTGACTGTCCTGGAACTCACTCTGTAGACCAGGCTGGCCTCGAACTCACAGAAATGTGCCTGCCTCTGTCTCCGGAGGGCTGGGATTAAAGGCATATACCACCATACCCGGCCTTTTTATTTATTTTTTTAATCAATTTGGAAACTGTGTTGGTCCATCCCTGTGGTCCCAGCACTTGGGAGGTAGAGGCAGGCAGATCAGAAGTTCAAAGTCATACTTGGCTACATAGTAAATTTGAAGTCAGCCTGAGCTACATGTTTCTAAAAAACAAAAATCCAGGGGATGGGGATGGCTCACCTAGCATCCACACAGCCTGGGTTTGATCCCTAGCACCACATAAACAGAGAGGTGGCCCAAGCCCGTAATACCAGCATTCCAGAGCCTAAAGTTCAAAGCCAGTCAGTTTGAGGCTAGCCTGGGCTACAAGGGACCCCATCTCAAGAGTATTGAGTTTAAAGGGGGAGGTAGAGCCGCCAGGCTCCCTGAAGAACAGGACCAGAACCCTTGGAAGGAAAGGAGACAGTAGCAAGCTCCTACCCAGAATGCCCAGGGCAGCCAAGGTTGCCTGCAGGGTGTGAGGGGATACTTTGGCTTTAATGGGGACCTGGGGCTTGGCAGATAGAACCAGGGTTTCCACATAGGGACAAATGGAGCGAAGGTGAGAAAGGCCACGTGTGTTTAGGGGGCAGGGGGCAGATCTATGTGGGGTGCAGAGCAGAGAACTCAGGGTGGTTATTTGGGGAAGCTGCGTGGGACACAGAGTCCAGCTGAGGTGGCTTCTCTGGGAAAAATTATTGACTGTGGGGCTAGTCCTGGGGCGAGGGGCTCTAGCCCGTGACCTGGAGTACAGGGCAAGGCTGGTTGTGCTGATCTGTGAGGACACCAGGCATCCTGAGACAGAGGCCCAGCAACCTTGAAGGGCAGCGGGTGCCAACCTCCAGCCATGCCCTCTGCTCCTACACACATCCCTGTGACAGCAGGACTGGGGCATTTCAGTGCCTTCCTGTCTCCTCCCGGACCTGGTGGCCCACATCAGCTCTCAGAGGAAACAACCCAGAGGGAGCTACATGAACTGACACAGTTGCTCTCAAGACCTGGCTGGGCTTTAGCCCTGGTACCGCAGCCTGGAAGACAGAGGTGGACAGTCCTACCTAGTAAGTAGCCAGGGATATTGCCCCATAGCCTGACCCCTAGCGGCAGGGGACTGTTTCTAGAAAGATGGTCCATGGCCAGGCATTACTCAGGAGGGCCAGAGGGGGGCTCTCTTGCAACCTCTGCTCAGAGGAGCTGTCCACACATCCTGTGGATGCCCAGCTCACCCCAGGAGGTGCTGGGAATTTGGTAACTTTAGTTTTGTTCTGAGATAGGATTCCACTTTGTAGCCCCGCCTGGCCTGGAACTCATTATGTGGTCCAGGTTGGCCTCAAATTCATGGCAATCCCCTTGCCTCAGCCTCCCAAGTGTTGTGATTACAGGGATGAGCCATTACACCCAGCTCTCAGGAATTTTTTTTTTTACCTTAATCTGTTTGGTCTTGGAGAAATGCTGGTCATGATCCATCTGCTTGTTCCCACTGCCCCCTTGAGGGACACCCGCTGCTCTACCACAGTGGAGCCCCCTGGTTTATCTGCCCACCTTGCTGTAGACATCTTTCTGTCTCTACCAGAAAGTCTCTGTCTACCAATTGTGTGGTTTTCGTGGGATTCTTTTGTTTGTTTGGTTTGGTTTTTTTTTTGTGGTTTCTCTGTCTAGTTTTGGTGCCTGTCTAGGCCGGCCTAGAACTCAGACAGATCCGCCTGGCTCTGCCTCCTGAGTGCTGGGATTAAAGGCGTGCGCCAACGCCACCCGCCCGGCTGTCTTTAGAGTCTTTAAGAGCAAGTGTGGACTGTGGCTCAGTGGTTGAAGCACACCAGAGTTCAGGTCCCCAGAATCCACATAAATGCCAGGGGGTGTGGTGTTCCTCCTGTAAACCTAGCCCCTAGGGGCAGACGCAGGACCCCCCCCCCCCCAGTAAGCTTGCTAGCAAAACTAGCCTTAGCTGAGTGCTCTGAGTTTGACTGAGAGACCCTGCCTTAGCGAAGAAGGGGGAGAGACAGTGTGGTGGCCAACCCGTCACACCTGGGAGGAAGGCACTTCAAATGAAGACTTGCCTCCCTCAGATTGGCCTGGGGCCATGTCTGTGGAGCATTTTCTTCCATGTCTGTGGAGCATTTTCTTGACTGCTGACTGGCCTAGGAGGTGCCCATCCTAAGCAGGTGTGGCTGGGCTGTATAAAAAGGCTAACTGACCATGAGCCAAAGAACAAGTTAGAAAAAATAATAATCCATTTGCTTCAGTTCCTGCCTTGATTTCCCTAAATGATGGACTGTGGCCTGAAAGTGTAAGCCAAATAGACCCTTTCCTCCCCAAACTGGTTTTGGTCACTGGATTCTTAAAGAAGTAACTCACACCCAACTACGATGGCACTGAGGGAACAAAACAGCAGTGGGTGGCTAAATTCACCCAGAGTCCCCAAAGTTGGTATGCTCCCCCCAACCTCTAAGTGGGCAGCAGACTTGACCTTTGAGAGCCGGGGAGGGGACAGAAGCAGAGCTGACTGCAGAGAAGGCACAGACAAAGCCCACTTCCGTAAAGTTCCACAAATGCCCCTGTCCTCCTCCCTAAGTCTATTCAGTCAGTGCATGTGAGATCAGCAGTGTCCAGCCACATCACCAGAACCACCGGCGGCACCACCGGAACTGCTGGGGACATCACCGGAACTGCCGGGGACCGTGGTCCTCTGAGCATGAGAGGTCGTCCGTCTTCATGAGATCAGGTATGCCTGCTGGTGAGAGCACATCGCCCTCAGGTCTGCTGGCCACTCCCTCAGAGGAGGAGTGGGGAGGGTCACCGGAACCTCGCCTGAGGTCCCAGCCAGCTTCTGCGCCTCTCCGTCATTCCGTATGCAATCCTGTCCTAACTGAATGTGGCCTGGGGTGGGGGGAAGGGTAGAATGTATTGGGGAACAGAACCGAGTGGGGCTACATCTATGTGCCCTGAAGAGGCACTCTCCATGCTGGGTGAAACTTTCCAGTGGGGCTGTCTTGGGGTCCCTCATCATCCTGTTAGCACCCCAGCACCTTCAGACTGTCCATGTGACTTTCTGGGCAGCCCGTGGCCTTTCTCTGTCATCTTGACATTACTACTCCATTTGTGTGTGTGTGAGAGAGAGAGAATGTGTGTGCACACCTGTGGAAGCCAGAGGACCACTTCAGGTGGTCTCCCTCAGGTGCCATCCACTTTTTAAAAAGTTGAAAGAAAACATTTTGAGACAGGGTCTCTTCCTTGCCTGGGACTTGCATAGAAATCTGGCTAGCTAGTGAACATCCCCCCCTACACACCCCGCATCCCCCCCCCCCCCCCCCCGCACAAGCCTCAAGAAAACATAATGTAATTCAGCTACTACTTGGAAAAGTAAAGGACTTCTCCAAAGGTCAAGGCATGGCTTAAGGAATCTTGGTGATATTTTAGCTTTATATATATATATATATATATATATATATATATATATATATATATATATATATATATATATATATATTAGCTGGTTCCTAAAATGATTTTCTTGTGTGCTTCCAAGAACTCCTAACGGTGTATTTATCTAAATACCTATCAAGCATCCAAGGCCATACAAAACAACACCTGTCTCCTAGGTCAGGCGGACAGCTTTATTTCTTGTGCAATTTAGGGTGAGACCCTTCTTTCTTTTCTTTTTTTTTTTTTTTTTTTTTTTTTTGGTTTTTCGAGACAGGGTTTCTCTGTGTAGCTTTGCGCCTTTCCTGGATCTCGCGCTGTAGACCAGGCTGGCCTCAAACTCACAGAGATCCGCCTGCCTCTGCCTCCCGAGTGCTGGGATTAAAGGCGAGCACCACCACCGCCCGGCTGAGACCCTTCTTTCTTATACAGCCTTACTAATAGACCCCTAACCTCTTACCTAACCACTTCTCAGATTGTAGACTGAGCACAGAGACCCCCTTTTTCATATACTAACCGGTCATTAGCACTCAGGTGACCTCCTCTTTTACCACTCCCATTTTGGATTCTAAAAGAAAGCCTGGTGGTCACTGCCTGAGGAAAATTCTTAC